AGCGCCGCCGCCGCCGCCGCCTGGCAGGGCGTGCCCGGAGAGCCGTCACGAGGCTTGCGGAGGGGAGGAGGAAAGGGAGAAGGGCGGGTAACGGCGGTAGAGTAACGCTAGGAAGCGGTGGCGGGGGCCGGGTGTCTGTTGAGGAGCTGCGAAAGTGGGTGGGTGGAGGGGCGCGCGGAGGTGCCTGCTGTAGGTGCCCAAAGAAGTAACTGAAGGGGCCACTGTTTATGAGCCCCTCTACTGAGAAACTCTCCTCATATGCCAAGGGGGTGTCCCCAGGTCTTTCGGGAGGGTCGGTCACCCCCTGTGTCTCTCAGGCCACATTTTGTTGTCACAGCCTTGTCAGTGAAAATATCGTGTGGGAATGCTGCAGACGTAATATATCTTGACTTGGGCAAAGCTTGTGACAAAGCTCCCCAGGATATTCTGATGAGTAAGCTAACCAACCAGGTGTGGGCTGGGTAGAATAACTGTCTGGCGGGTATGCAGTTGGTTACAGGATACTACTCAGAGACTAAGAACATAAGAAGGACCGTGCTGGATCAGGCCAAGGGCCCATCTAGTCCAGCTTCCTGTATCTCACACTGGCCCAACCAGATGCCTCTGGAAGTACAGGAGACAATTAGATACCCATCTCCTGATACCCCTCCCCTGCATCTGGCATTTGGAGGTACCTTCCTCTTAAGCCTGGAGATTATACATCATGGTTTGTAACCTGTGATGGACTTTTCCTCCAGGACTCTGCCCTATCCCCTTTTAAAGGCATCTAGGCTAGATGCCATCACCACGTCCAGTGGCAAGGAGTTCCACAGACTAACAGCACGCTGGGTATAGAATTAGTTTCTTGTGGTCACATGGCCAGTGTGATTTAGACACGGAACGCTGTTTACCTTCCCACCGAGATGGTACCTATTTATCTACTCGCATTTGCATGCTTTCGAACCGCTAGGTTGGCGGGAGCTGGGACAAGCAACGGGCGCTCACTCCGTCGCGTGGATTCGATCTTACGACTGCTTGGTCTTCTGACCCTGCAGCACAGGCTTCTGCGGTTTAGCCCACAGCGCCACAAACTTCATATTGTGTGGAAATGTGAACTTGTTACATCACTGAGCTTAACTAACTGATCACTTACACTGCTGACAAAACACTTAACTCTAACTGTCTACTTCTATCAGGCTCTGTACTAACACAAACAGAAAGCTAACTGATAACTGACAGACTGTAAAAAGAAAAAAAGGGGGAAAGAATCCGATGTACAGAGGAAACCTGGCTGCTTCTGAGTTGAGTGACATTCAATGTGACTGCAAAAAGGGCCAATAATATTTTAGACTCTATTAACAGAAGTATAGTCTTCAAATCCTGTGAAGTACTAGTTCTACTCTATTCAGTACAGTGGTGCCCTGCATAGCGAGGTTAATCCGTTCCGGATTAACCGTCGCTATGCGGAATCGTCGCTAAACGGGTAGGGGAAACGTATTGAAACGCATTAAACTTAGTTTAATGCGTTCCAATACCTTGCTTACTTACCCGTTCAGCGAGGATTCCCCTTGGCGGCAGCCATTTTCGCGCCCTCGCTAAGTGAGGGCAGGGCGCAAAAACGGCTGCCGGCAGCCATTTCCGGGCTTCCGGCGGCCATTTTGGAACCGCCGAAAATGGGCTCAAGCTACAGGAAGACAGATTTAGGTTTAATATCAGCAAAAACGTCTTAATTGTTAGAGCAATACGACAATTGAACCAATTACCGTGGGAGGTGGTGAGCTCTCCAGTGCTGGAGGTATTCAAGATACACTTTGATTTGTATTCCTGCCTTGAGCAGGGGGTTGAACTAGATGGCCTTATAGCCCCCTTCCAACACCATGATTCTGATTCTGTGATTCCTGAGAGTTGCTAGCAATGAGCCTGTCATGTTCCCGGGGGTTACAACAGCAGAGTCCGATAAGCCAGTCCTATGTCAGAAATTAAGAGAATGCCGAGCCAATATCCAAATACTGTACCAAAGCCAACTCACACAACGTAGTCCAGGGTCAGAGTCCAAAGCCAAAACACACAACATAGTCCAGGGTCAGAGTCCAAAGCCAAGGGTCCAGAGA